GGTATCGGCCAAAATTTTCATATCGGTGCATCCCTAATTTCTTCTGTTCCGTGTCAGAATTCGGCACGTTCATGACAGTACCACGGCACATGCGTCTGGTGCTGCTGATGCAGGAGCAAGAAGAGAAGAATTGTATAAAGTCGTTATTTTTGTTTTCTTTGTGCATAAAAAATATTCTCGTAGCTTCATACAATTATGGTTGAACCACTGATGTCACATGGACTATTTTAACAATGTCCTTACTACCTTTCTGGGCCTTGAACATGGTAGTTACGTCGCTGTCTATGTACAGTCAAAAAAATGTTTAATCAAAAAAATCTTAATTATGTTAATATGGAGGGTTTGGAACGACATGAGGGTGAGTAATTAATGACAAATTTCATTTTTGGGTGCACTATCGCTTTAATGGTTTTGGAAGATGTCTATTTTGCTCACAAAGGTTGTTAATTATTTAACAAAGGTTGTTTAAAAAAAAACTAATAACTTTTAGGTGCATGATCTATCCTATTTTCCTCACCTGCTGTTTCAGATGGACTTCCTGCTGTTTCATAAGCTCATACATCCTCTGCGACTCAGCTGCCTCTTTCAGGAGCTGAAAAAGAAAGAAATGACAAACCATATTAATCTTAATTATTGACTGGAAGCTTTTGCCCAGAGGGTATAACCACACCGGTGGATATATAGTGCAAGTCTCAATACAGTTTTAAGGATGTAGAAACTCACAAAGTCTTTCTCCTTCTGATGCCTATCCCCTGAGTCCTTGAGCAGTGCCTGTGCCTGATGAAGCTTCGCATCTACCAGCTGTTGCTGCAGATCTTTCTGCTTGAACACCTTGTCAATATGCTGAGAGAGAAAACGACTCTCTTAGGTACAGTGGCTCCAAAACAACACAAGTCATACTTAAATATGTCACTGCATTCTATAAAATATAAAAGCAAGTTTCCTCTGCAAACAAATTATGCTAGTTTTAATTGGTGTACACACATTAATGCTGACTATTTGCATTAATATGAACAGAAACCAACATTTGAAAATAGTCCAGATTTTTTGTATTCATTTTGAACAGCACTGTAAATTCTAAAGCCTAAAAAAATAGTAGCTCAGCGGTTATAGATTTACAAACATCTTCCGTTAAAAGGCATTACAAATGTGTCCAGAAGTGCCCTTCTCTCTTCATCTTCGTATCTCTCACCTCCTCTCTGAGCTCATACTGCTCAATAAGCTTCTTCAGTTTGTCAGCCAGCTCCATGTTCTCCTGCCTTAGGTTTGCATTACGCTCGTTGTGCTGCTCCATCTGAACTTGGATGTCGTTCAGAGTCACCTGGAAATGTGAAGTCACTTCCTTCCTTTTCTCCTCCTCCAATCGGGCACGTTGCACACCATCCTCCTGCCAAGCACAGCAAACATCAATCCATTTCTCTCATTACGGAATATATAAGGCAACAAGCCTCTGGTTATGTGAACAGTGGAGTTAGAGCAGATGAAACAATACTTTGAGCAGCAGGGAGGGAAAACTGCCAAGGCAGATCTCTGTTCAGATCACCTCTGAATTTAAATGTTGCATTAGGCAGGCACCACACACATGATGAATTACGCGAAACCCTCTGAGCGCAAATAACAGATATCATGTTATTTGCATTCATTTCAAGTTAGTGTACCTTAAGTGTGCGGTTGTGTCTCTGCAGTTCTCGACAGAGACTCTCCAGCTTGCTGCGTGCCAGGATGGCTTTGCTGTGCTCGTTTCGTAATTGGTCCTTCTCCTGGATCAGCTGCGTCTGCTTCTTCTGCAGAACCCGCATCTGTTTCTGAGCATTACGGTTCTCCTCTAGCTAAAAGAAAAACAAAGCAGGACAGGTGCATTATTATCATTTGTTATGTTACTATATTATTTTAATCATAAAAATTACTATAAAAGGGCATCAAAATGGCATGTATTGTTTGAATCTTGTGATAAAATGGAGAGAGAGAGAATTTGAGAGCTGAAACTTTGTTTCCTATCACAAGTAACGAAGCTCTTTGCAAATAATGGACTTGCTTTTATCAGCCGATTCAGATTACAGGCCAATATTTCAGTGCATCTCAGGGAATTATAGTGGTTTATAGCATGAAGCTGTGAAACAGCTTTAGAAATGTATCACTGAATTAATGTG